AGTTTTATCCCGAGAAGGCAGAAAACTGCTTCACACCCACTCACACCTAAATTCACACTCCGATGGAGGCGAAGTTGCTGTCCCAGGTGGAGACCTGAACATTAGAAACAGTTTATTTCTGATTCTTGCTCAAAAGAAATGCACACCAATGTCCACCTGGGGACTCAAACTTCACATCTTGGCTCTCTATGCCCGTTTTAAATGCTTCAAACTTTGGAACGAATTCGTTCTTTCCAGCAGCAACAAACAGGTTCTCTGCTGTCTGCCTGCTGGGCTTTGGTCTCATTAGAACCCGTTCATCAGCTGTTTAACAATGAGCCTCAGAAAGGTTCAGTCTTCCCTGTCTCCCTCTTTGGTCGCCTTTTAGGAGGAGAATTTAGGAGAAAATAAACCAGCTTCTTATCTGTGCCTGCAGCTGCAGTGTGGTCAGGCCGCTCCGCAGCATGAGAACTGCTGTCAGCGTGAAAACACTGCCGGGTAGGTCGTGCAAAGGAGTTTGGGGAGGTGGGAAAGGCATGTAGCACACGTCACACAGGAAAAACAGAAGAGGATTTCAGCTTATGAACCCTGGTGAAAAACATATTTACAGCCGAGCATCCTAAAAACAACCTTAGACTCCTCAACTGAACTGAACTCCCTTTAAGATCAGGACACAACAAACTGAAACATACAGATATTATTAATAGCCACTGTGGCTGGTGGAGAACATTTTTAATTTCCATCCCTGCGTTCCAGCAGAACATCAGGCTACTTTGTTTGCTTAGTTTAAGCACTGCAGCTTAGTTTAAAGTTGAAAAAGGAAAAAAAAAAAAAAAATTTTTGGCCCCTTTTGACTTGATAATTTTGATCCATGTGGCAAAACTTTGGATTTACGCTCCTGCTGCAAGAGGTTCCAAAAGCAGGTGCAGAAGTCATCATTCCTAAACATGGCTACTTAATAATGTGCAACTACGTCTGATAAAATCCCAGTAAAAATGCACCGAAGTTTGAGGTGCCAAACCAGAAAAGTTCACCTGAAAAAGCTCAAATGTTGTGGATATTTCTGCTGCATCCAGCCACCTCCACCTGCTGCAAGCTGCAGGCGGCGATGTGAAGAGGGGCTGCAGCTGCTCTGCGCACAACGGCGCTTGTTTTACGATTCAAACGGTCTGAGACAAGAGACCAGCTGCTGCGTGCAAGTCCTTGATTACAAAGCAAGTTCAAGTGCTTTCTCTTTGGGCTGACCATTGTTTTTTTCTAAAACACCAAATTGTAGAAGCATCCTCCATGTCAAGTGGCGGGACCTTGTAACCCAGGCAACAAGGAAGAAGCTATTTTGAGCAGTGGGCTCCATGCCACCCCTTGAGGAGCTGCAGCTTTGGGCAAGTTTGAGGACAACAGCCTCATTTTTGAGGTTTACCATCTACTACTTTAAGTTGAAAGTGTTAAATTATTTAGCAGCAAAGATGCAGGGGGAAAAAAAAGTTAACTCCCTGATAACGAGTGGTCAGGAAGTTGAAATATAAATGCAGTTTGTGTCCTGTAGCTTTTAGCGGCGCACGCTCAGCCACCCAAAAGCCGCGGGATTGAAATGCCACAACATGTGAATGGGGATGAGCCCTTTGCCACGTCAGTACCCCAAATAGCACGACATGTTTCAAGACATTAATGTCAACAACGCTTCAAAGGCAGCACAAGTAACATTTCGCAAAATTAATTTAGCAGTTTTAGCCAGAAATAAATAAGAAGAAACACAACACATCGGGAAAAACACTGAACCGAAGAGTTAAAAGTGTTTTTTTTTTACTTTTTACTGCTTTGTGTTCAGAGGTCAGAGAGGAGATTCATACAGAGAGCCTCTAGAGTTGGCAGGAAATCCAAGTGAAGCTCAAGGACTCTTCAGTAGAGAATATGAAACATGAGGGCACGACCCCCCTCATCTTCCAACTAATCTCTGCGGCGTTTTAAACACAAACTGCTGAACGCCTTCTTTTAATGCCAGTCAGTACGCAGCACGAAACACCTCATCGGTATGTGTGCAGCTCAGCTTTAATTGCCGATATGTCAGAAGAATTTGTGTCCCTAAGTAGAAGTAGCCAAAAAAAAAAAAAACAGCTCTGGCTCCAAGTCACACTTTCATTCAGGCTGCTGCAACCAGCTGAGGGAGGTCGGGCTGACGCGTCACACGAACAAACACAGACATGCCAACGGCGTCTGTTTACAATGAGCAACAATCTCCCCGAGGGCGCGCAAAAGGTACAAAACAAGAGACGCAAGCCGAGCAGAAATGACAACGCTGCCTAATGGCTGCAAATACTTCTCTGGAGCTAAATGCGTGAAACTGATGGGTAAAAGGTCGAAAAGGGCGATTTTATGCTTTTGTCTGACTGTAAGAGTACAACAGAACAAAAGCTTTTGTGGCCTTAATCGGCAGATACAGCACATGAAGAGACCACTTAAAATGATCCTTTTCTCTGATTTTACTTTTTATAGATATATGTTTGAGTAAAATGAACTTTGTTCTTTTATTGTATGAACTGCTGACAACATGTCTCCGAAATCGCAAACAAAAATGTTGTATTCATTTGCTGAAAACGAGAAATGGTCCAAAGAACAAAAGAGATGCAGTGCTTTAAACAGGTTCGTACTCATTTAGAAACAATAGTACTAATGTTTTAACTCAGGAAGAATGCAGAAATCAGTATTTGGTGGAATAACCAGGAGGTTTTCAATGGGATTCAGTGCTTAAGTTAAGGAACTCTTTGCACTCACCCAAACTGTTTAAAAACACACCTAAATTAACAACAGCCTAAAAAAAGCCAATCTAATTCAGTTGCAAACTGCTTTTTCAAAATATGTTCTTGCATCTCAAACTTTTTTGCGTTTTGTCTCCTTACAACCACAAATTTCAATGTTATTAATTGTAATGGAACAAAACAAAGTGATAAACATTTGTGAAAACGAACGAAGTGGACTGTTTTGAGTTTGTTTGTTCTTCTTTTAACAAATGTGGTCGGCTACCCTCAGAAGTGTCCTAATAAGTAAACAGATCAATCCCCACTGTCAAACATGGTGGCGGCAGCTGGTTTTTATCAGCAATTACAAAAATCTGAAGTGATTTAAAAATGAACGTCATTAAATACAAAGTAATCCTCAGGGAAAAACCTGTGAGAAGCTCCAGAAGACTCAGAGCCAGGCCGGTCACAATAACAGATTCTGCTGGATGATAAATGGTTCAGGAGTTATTGCGATAAATGATAATGTTGTTGTTTTGAAACTATTTTTAAGTAAAATAATGGTAATAATGGCATATTAATGCAAGAACACATTCTCAAAGATAAGTAAACTTTTAACACTGGAACTGGAAGACGTTTGAAATATCCCAAATAAATAAATAAAACAACAAATAAAATGAATTTTGAAGTCTTTGTAAACAAAATTATTCTTCAAAAAAAGGGCTAGTTGAGACCAAACTGAAGACTTTTATCACCCAGTTTAAAAAATAAAAAAGCAATAAATGATCAATCATGCCAGTGGAAATTATTGAGTTTGTTTTAATTTATCATGTGATTAATTGATTTATTGATTATTGTGACAGACCTACTCAAGGCTGGGGAACAATTTCGTCAGTAACCTAAATATACAGTCAGACCATATTTCTTGTGTTCAAATGGCCTATTCAAAGTTCAGCCTCAAATCTAATTGAGAAACTTTTGAACGAATTGAAATTCACATCCAAACAGCCTGAACCTGAACTATTTTTAAAGAAGACGGAATCAGTCTGTCTGTGATTTAGAAAAAATCCAGTAACCACTTTGACTCTTCTGGGACAATTCAAATTTCTTTTAAGACAAAAAAAGAAAAATCTTTGTATAAAACTTGCTTTTGTTTTTAGCTGATTTAACTGAGTCTTCTTAATTACTTTGTTTTGTTGCTGTGTTTGTCTTTTTTCTGTTTGTTTGTTTTATCCAAACAAGTTCCTCTTTTAAATAAGATCCTGGATCTCCGTCAGAAAAACTTTAAATTAAGAATACATTTAAATTACTTTCAGTCTCTTGCTCTGAAAACCTGATACCCGAAAATATTTTAATATTTTATTTCTATGTTCTAGATAAAATTAGAATAAACTATATTCAAGTTTGTGGATGTAGAACTGGTTTGATTTTTTTTTATTTTTTTTTATTTTCTTTCCTTTATTCAGGTAAACCCTGTTGAGATCCAGATCTCATTTTCAAGATGGACCTGCGCAGAAGTCTGCCATATGGCATTCTGATGGAAAATGGTTTATAATTAGCTGTCAGTAACATTATTTAATCATCAAGTTTTTATTTACTGTTTGTGAAGAAGCTGCACTGTAAAACATTTGAGCCACATTTAGTTGTGTCTCCTGTCTTCTTCTCTTTAAGTCAAATAAATTTAGTGAGTTTTAGATTTTGAACCTTAATGTGAGTTTGTGAAAGATAAACTTACAATAATAAGTTGTGTTAACTTTGTTTTTATTAATTTTGTCAAACAGTTTTTTGGTTAGCACTTAAAAAAACGAAGAAAAAGACAGGAGTGGGATCTATTTCCCAGAATGCTTAGCGGCATGTTTCTGTATCCTGAGATGGACGTGCGGTCCATTTAAGGTAAATGTTTATTTTAAGTTTGCAAAGCGTGAGGATAATGTCCTGTTTACACTAAATGTTTCTGATGTTTAATAAAATTCATTTTCAGATCAGAAATTTTCTTCATGCAATTTGAAAGAAGAATTTAAATTACTTTAAAGTAAAATAAGTTGATATTGAGCAAAAATGGAGAAATGTGTTTTTTTCTTGCACATTGTGAAATATTCATTTAGTTTAAATTACAGCTAACGTTGTCAAAAAAAACAACAACAATGTTTAGACAACTTGTCGCTTATTGTAAAATCAACATTTCTGAGTTAAAACCAAAAGAAATGTCTTGTTGACTTAAATTGCATTTTCAAGGCTGCAGGTGGACTTTCATTTCCAACTTAAACCACCTTCAATTGTACTTACGGGTGCCATCGAAGTGCGTGGCGATGGTGTCCAGAAAGGTGTTCTGAGGGGCCAGGAGCCCCTTCATCACAGGCATCTCGACCCAGATGTGGGGCAGCCAGTAGGTGGCTGGACGTCACACCATCCCAGAAGTGCGGCAGGGTGGCGATCCGCGACGTCTCAGCAGGTTCAGGAGAGGACAATCCAACACTGGACACAGGGATCCATTTTTACAGTACATGCGACCACCTTTCTCCCCAGGAGACACCAGTACATCCTGAAATAGACGGCGATAGCTCAGTCCGACAATGCAGAGATCTGCTCAGTCACAAAAACATAAAAGTCCAGACCCAAAGTACTTTGTGGCTGAAGTTATGCTGCAGCCCTTTTCCATTCATTCAAGCCCCATAAACATGCCTCTACTCCTCTGCCATCCTTCAGCTCGAGGATCTGTGGGGATGCTGTGGCAGAGTAGTTGCATCTTCTTGAGCTTTCGCCACTCCGTCTCTTCCCCCCATCCACTCCTGTGCAGCAGCAGCCAATGAGACGCAGCCCTCTCTCTATGGGGACCTGTTCTCATCGGATCAGGGAGCGAGACGAGGGAGGGAAACCAGGCAGGGAGGGAGGGAGGATCCTTTTTTTGGGAGCATCTGACAGCACCATTACACCCCACAGTGCTACTATCAGCACATGGCTTTTGTGTGTTGGGAAAGATGGATTACCTGCGTGTCTGTCAGTGGAGGCTATTGTACCGAGCTGGACTGTGTGCTGCTTTGGTCGTTTTAGTTATGTGAGGGAACGTTACTTTAGATTTATTTCCCTACGTGTTGGAGTGACTGTGAAGACGACAAATGCTCTATCAGCGTTCCTGTGGGGGAATTAAAGCATGGGATAAACTGTGCTGAGAGTGGATTTAAAAGATAAGCCTGGAAATGTTTTTAAGAGGACTCAACTCATAAAGCAGTGCATTACTTTCTTTCACACATCTAAACAGCAAAATAAACACCCCTGAAGAGCGTCGTTCTAAGAATAGATTTCACTTTCACAGAGTTTGGTGCTCATTAAAGTGGCACTCAGCAGAGAAAGATGACCCCTAAGGATCAGGTCAATTAATGTAATTGTCATTAAATATTAAATTTTGTGAGTGGCATCAGGAAACCTGATGAATGAGGGTAGTTTACAGTGACACTGCGCGGCAAAATGTAGCAACACTGTGCAAAAATGCAACAACAGAAGGAGGGAAAAAAGTAAAAATACTTTGGAAGGAAAACGTTACGTAAGGAAAAAAGCAAGATGGCTGCAAAAGTGAACAGAACGGTTCAGCTAAAAATTACTCACCTTTAAAAGTATTTTTATTCCACCAAAAAGTTTATATGTGGTAGAAAATGAGACTGGCATCTCCCAAAACGTCATAAAACAATATAAATGGAGATTTGATTTTAAAAATACAACTCAGGAAAAAGTTAAGAGACAACTTAAAATGATCAGTTTCTTTGAGTTTTATTTTTATCAGTATATGTTTGAGTAAAACGAACATTGTTCTTTTATTCTGTCATTGACATTTTTATAAAAACAATATTTTGAAAATATATTTTTTCTATATGTAATAGAAAAATCAGAAATTAAACCTTTGTTAAAATCTCATATTTCAACTGGTGACTTTATGATTTATTAGCTCCAGTCTCTGTGCCACCACCCTAGTCTTTAGCTTCTCTAACTGTTTTTCATGTTTCTAGAAATTATCGCGTAATGTCAAAGCATCAGAAGAGCGCTCTTCCAAGCAACATTTCATACTGACAATGCATCATTTTGTACCACCTTTGACAGTCGGTGATGCAAAGTATTTTTCTTTAACGTATTTGTAGTCTGCTACCTTAAAAAGTAGGTTATAAAATTTCAGAAATAACGGCTCAAATCAATTTCTGTTTCGTCAGAGGTTGCAATATGTCATATTTCATAAGGATGACTTGATCAAAACAGGGATCAGAACCACAATCAGTGGAAAATGTCATCATATTTACACTTTTTGCCACAAAAGTTGCATTTTATCTTCATAAATCATTAAAAAAAATTACAATCAAGATCACTGGAGCCCATAATGCTGTCCTGAAACTTAACAGCATTCTTCCTCCAACACTTCTCAGTTAAACACATGAATTCCCTCATCAGCAGTTCTGGTAGTTAGCCATTCATTGGATTCAGGTGCGTTGGAGAAGGTATGCATGTAAAAATTGCTGGCAGCTCTAATGGCTGGAGATACAGAGCCTTGAACATCACTATGAGTGGTTCAAATGATGGCCAGTTGAACTAAACAGAAAAAAAGCTGATTACTTTCCTTTTGGAGCCACTTTAAGCATTCAGCATGCCGAAGTGAGTGAATCTTCATGAGTGCCTGCAAAGAATAGCATCTGAGTAAGTATCATTATCACCAGTTCATTGCTGTGCTTCAAAGTTGTGAAGTTTATTTTTGGTCTGATTTGGCTGGAGAATTTACAACATATGCTGCAGTATCAAATGTCTTGACAGGAAATGCAAGACTATCAAGTTACTTACAGTCACATATCTTCATATAATGAAAAAGTGTTGCTTTACAAATGATCTTAAAATTTGAATAAAGAAAAACTCCTAAAAATCTCACCCAACCAGAAACAGGAGACAGTGAAAGTAAAAGGCCACCTTACAGACGGTTAAGGCATTCTTCCCCTCTTTCTGGATCCTATTCAGGACCTGGCAGCGATCCACTGCGCTGTATTTTTAATGATCTCTCATTGTCCTGTCTGCTTGTAGCTCATCCATCTCTGCTTGTTACTAATAAAGAGGCTAATCCATTAAATATGCTCACTATCAGTTCTGTGGTCTAGCATGACTGAGTGATGCACAAAAGGTCAGGTGCAACACAATGCCAGCTACATTACTGTGTTGTGTCCACAAACACAGCAGATGTGACTTTTTACCCACAAGAAAAAGTCTGTGAAGGAGCGTTTGGAGAAGCTAAAACATTTTATCCTGTGCTAATTCAGTTCAATTCAATTTATTTACTAGAGTCTAGGCGTTTTGGCTCTGAAAAAAAAAAGAGAGACCACTGCAAAATTATCAGTTTCTCTGATTTTACTTATTATATGTATATGTTTGAATAAAATGAACATTGTTCTTTTATTCTATGAACTACTGACAACATGTCTCTGAAACTCCAAGCAGAAATTTAGTATTTATTAGCAGAAAATGAGAAATGGTCAAAATAATCATTCCAGACCTCAAACAATGCAAAGAAAACAAGTTCATATTCATTTAGGAGCAAAATGAATGTGCTTAAGACTGACATGACTCGATCATAAACATGACATAACACCTTTTAAGAATATAAAGAAGTCTTTATGAATGTTTATGACTGTTGTCACAAAGTGTCATGCAGTAAATAGTGACGCTTATTTTAATACAAAGTCGCTTTAAAAGTCCATTAAAAGTGCCAATTTTGCATTAAAATTGTCATTATTTACCAAATAAATTTAAGTCTCGGTATGCTAACCCTTCTAGGCTGAACGTGCCGGTGATGACGCAGCCAAGTTTCCAGTGCCGTAATTCCGCCACACTTTGCGCTATCTGAAAAATTCCAACGGTTTCTGAAAGTGGAGACGTTGCGCTTTTCATCCGATATCGGGTTATTACGGTAATTAGCGGTAAGCAGGGAGTGAAGGGAGTGTCTGAGGGACACTCTTTCAAATTGCGAAAATAACTGCTAGATATCGAAAGTTCCGGTTGTTACGGATGAATTGGCAATATATATATATTTACTCATAGGACATTTAAAGAACTTAGTACAATTAAAATAAGCAGAAATTTCCAGGCGGAGATTTGAAACGTAGTACTCAAAGGGTTCAAAGTGACACACCAATTCAATTTAGATAACATTTTGAATGCTTGAAGCAGATTCTAGAGTTTGTGTATTTTCTTTGCATGGTTTTACTTAATGCATCTCGGCGTGATTAATAATAACTAATAAATCGTAATCGATTTGACGGTTAATCGGATCTTTGTTAAGATCCGTCAATGAAAATCGATGGCACTAATCCTGACTTTAATTGGAGGATATAGAAGCTCTTTAAGTCACTCGGCATGCAATTTCCCTTCTCTCATTTAAACCAGCCCTCCTTCCCTCAGCAGCAGACCATTGAGGAATCAGGCCTGTCATTCTCACATCTTGGCTGCTTACACTGAATTAACTAGCGAGCGAGCAGATGTTTGCACACATGGTCGAAATGTTTCTAAGGCTGCAAATCTGCCAGGAAACTGAGACACTCACACCTTCCAACAAGAGACAAACCAAAATAAGCTGAGAAATTGTGGAAAATACTGTACTGTAGCAGTCAATTAGCTGTTTTCTGCCAACACAAATAATACATTTGGTATCTTGACAATGTTTTTCTAGAGAATTTGTCAAGTACTGACCAATGAGAACAATCTTTTAGCTCTTTAAGGGGATTAACTGACATGCAGACAGTGTGAGGGGTTATCACTGAAGCAAAAATAAACTGAGAACAATGTCAAATCTCAGCTGAAATGGGACACGACTAAAAATATTAGCCCAGTTTATGAACTCTTGCTGGAGAAACACTTTTCATGCACACCACAGAACAAAAGAAACAAAACAAAGAGAACCGTTTCAGGTAAGTCCTGTTACCGTTTCAGGTAAGTCCTCCTGTTGACATTTAATTTGATTAAATTAATTATAAATGGGATGAAGGGCTCCTGTTTTTCCACATTAAATCTCGCCTGCATGTGTTATGATTTTCAGTTCACACTGACACCGGATTTAATTAGCTGAAGTCGTTTCAGACTATTTTTATATTCAAATTCTTGCAAATTGTTCAACTAAAATAAACCACAGTAGGTCATGTTTGACTAGCACCTCCCAGTGGTGGCAAAGAGCACTGAAAGGCAAAGAAGGAGTTTACTGAAATTATTTATAATCTCTGGAGTCAAGGAATAAGAGAGCCAAGCAGCTGCTTACGACACCAAAAAAATAAAAACTGTCAGATAAATTGGGTTTGCTTGATGTATCAGTAGCATATCAATTAGATTATGAGTTATATGTTATTATAGCCAGACTTTAATGAGGACGGAAAAACATTTTGAACTGGTTATCTATTTTAGAAACATCCTTTACTTACAGTAGAATCACTTAAACTGCAGAAACAGTTTAAAATCCAGTGCTAACATGTTCCCAGTATTATTCTTTTTACAGTTTTTGATTGAACAAGGAGATTATGGTGTAATCCAGAGGTGTCCAAAGTGTGGTCCGGGGGCCATTTGTGACCCTCTGAAGGAGTTTGTTTGGCCCCACGCCTCAATGTAGGCATTTTTATTAAAAGGGAAAAAAACAACAACCAACAACCAGATTCTCATTTATTAATGTTTCTGTAATTGTCTTAACTTTAACTAGAACCACAAGCATCAACCTACTTTTACTCAAAAAAAGAAAATAATCAAAAATGTTTGAAACGTTACGCCTGTCTTATGACACCCTAATTGTGCAAAACCTTTTATATCTACAATTATTTAAATTTTGATTATTAATAAGTGGGTAAACTTTTTTGTAAGTCATAAAACATTTGATATAAAATACTTTTTGTGGTCTAAAAGTACTTACAAATTAGCGATTTTGGCCCTCGTGGTAAAAGGTTTCTGGTGTAATCTGTTGTGTCACCTTTAAGCTTTAAATGTTTCTGTAAGAACTTAAATAAATAATTTAATGTTCATATGTAAACTCAGATGCTGCATATGACCGACTTTCTAGTTGGAAACCATATTAATGAAAAACTTGCAAAACTATTAATACCCCTTCAAATTTCTCACATTTTCTCTCATTACAGCCACAAACTGTATTTTACTGAGATTTTATGTGATTAACCAATCCAGTGGTTGTCAGTATTTTTCTTTAGGAAATAAAAATGTGAACTATGTAATGATTGATACAGTATTTACTGAATAATAGCAAATGTTCTTAAAAAAAATCTCAACAAATGAATAAACTGAATCTGTTTGTCATGATAGAATAAAAAACATTAAATACATCATTGTCATAAAATATAAATAAACTGTTGTAATTTTTGTGTTCAAATCCTCCCAAAGGCACTTTTTAAATCTTATTACTTCACTTCCTTTCAGTTCGCGATTCATGTCTCATCTTCAGGAAACTGTTTTTCCCAGCAGGAACTCTGCGTACTCTTTCCGTCGGAGCACACGATGCATTTTGAAAGTGTTGGCCGAGGTGCTCGTGTACGCCATCATCTTCCTCTGAAGCTCCTTAAACGCCCCTTCTGACACCAGCTGCACCCTCATCGACCCGATGCTGCCTTTTATACGAAAGGACTTATACACCGCGGAGTCCTTCTGGAGACAAATGTCCAGCTGGAGGGACAGAAAGAATAGAAAATAACAGGAACTTTTACAAGAATAAGTCAGAGATCACTGGATTTCGTCTCACCTTATATCTCTGTTCTTCTGTTAGATTCCTCACTCCTTTTAGCTCTATAAACACTTGGTAATGAGGATCTGAGCCTCCTATTGAATCGCCTGTAAAGGAACAGTATATTCAACAATCATGGAGTTTAAAAAGTCAAAACTCGAAGAATAAACCCGACAAATTTTACCCAAGATGCCGCTCTCGGCACAAGAGTAGTCGACTAGCTGAGCTCCGGGCCACTGAGCGACGGCGTTCTTCAACGCGCCGAGGAACAACGCCTCAGAGACTTTCTCTCCTCGAACGTTGAGCATCTGACCTCGTCTGACAGGAGACAGAACAAAAAACAACAAAAAGCTCAAGAATCTTTTTCGCTTTGGACGACGTGACATTTGGTAGTTGAAGGACGAAGCTTTCAAACCTGTACTGAAACTCCACAATGGGACACTGGTTATGAAATCCAGTGACTTTCACAATGTCTCCGATACGATATCTGTGACACAGAAAGTATGTAACGTTGTAATAAACCACAACATCGTCTGATGAAGTCAGCGACTACACTGCAAAAACACAAAATTTTACCAAGTAGTTTTGGTATAGTTTCAAGTGCAAATATCTTGGTACACTTGGAAAAATGTAAACTAACTTAAAAAAAAAAACTTTTCAGCAAGATATACACACTTGTTTTAAGTAAATAATTTCTTAATATTAATAAATTCTGTTAAAAAAATATTTTTATTTCAGTTTTTTTCTTAATTATTTTTTTAATTCAGCTTTAAAAAACAGAATTTTTAAAAACATAAAAAAATAACTAAAATTTTAGTGCCTGAAATGCAATAACAAAGTGCTCATTTATTATAAGCTTGATTATTTGTAGCAAAGGAGCAAAGAAGCTAAAAACATAATTATGTTGCTTTTAGAAAAAACACATTTTCTAACATGTGACATCAACATCATGTGAAAAGCTCAACTTTTTTTTTCTTGATTTAACATAATAAAGTAATCAATAATTGGATGGAAAAATATGTTCAGTAAAATTTTTTTTTACAGTATTTGAAAAGGGTGAAGCTAAAACTGTCACTTAAGGAGCTCTGGGTATAACATACTTAGAGACAAAGATTAATTTTTTTTAATCTCAGATACAAAATGTATAAATATTTTTGCACAATTCAGCCTTAATTATTGCTCTGACTGTATTGTTCCTTCAGCAAAATGCCTTTGTTTTAGTCTAAATATTTCAGTTAATGATTAGTCGATTACTAAATTAGTTGACAATTATTTGAATAATCAATTTATCACAATTAATCCGATTAATCATTTCAGCAGTAATCATGATACATCACTCCTCATAAAAGTTCTTCTCTCTGTTATTTTTATATATTTTTTTAAATAACCTTATCACAACGGACCTGAAAAGGCCTGAAGCGTTGGTGATGACGAGTTCGTAGCTTTCTCCTTCCTTCACCTCCTCCATCAGCAGAGTTTGGGGGGTTTCTTCATCCAGGCTGCTTTCCGGCAGGAACTCGCAGAACATGGAGCGCGGACAAAGCAGGTAGCGTCTGTCCGGCTCCTGAGGCCACAGGTTCACCCCAATCAGACCTGCAGGGGCAGAGGAAGTGAACGCTAATTAGTATTTAGTCATTATATTTCCCGTGAAACCTGCGAGTGTTCGTACCCTCCGTAGCGGCGTAGAAGGGTGAATAGAAAGGCACTCCTCTGCAGTAATGCTCCCTCAACATTTCCCCGTAGATCTGATTGGAGCCAGAGTCCACTGCCAGCACCAGGTTCAGGTGAGGCCACAGGCGCTTGGCAATCCCCCCAAAGCCCTCATGGAAGTGGGCCCGCAGCTGGGCAGCCCTCTCTGCATCTGGCTTCATTAGAGCCTCCAGTCTGCTCCTCACTTTGGGCTCCAGGGTCAAGGAGCTGCTGATCGTCCCTCGCTCCACGTCCTCCACCAGCTCCTGCCAGCGCTCCTGTCAGATGAAAGTTATCTGATTAATTATTTTACTCTGATTTATAAAATGTGACTCTTTTAAAAAACAGGAATGTGAAAAAAATTATACAATATACTATTAGTAGAGATGGTTTAATAATGACGCTTTACAAAGTATGATCATTTCTGGTTATCTATTTATTGTAGTTTTATTCTTTGGTGAAATTTAAAGAACTGTAATTAAAATTAAATAGATAATATATTGATGAGTTAACTTTTAAAAGTGGGTTTAATAGTTAAATGTTTGGATTTTACATGTCAGATTATGGTTAAGAAGTGGAAATATTTTAAAGTTTACACTTCCGCCAATTCCCTCGAATATGCAGAACAAAAGTTTTGACATTATGATTTATGTTGAAAGTATTTGTTTTGCACATATTCAAAAAGTAAAACAAAGTTACACTGAAAACAAAGTGCTGCAACACAGGGATCAAGATTACATGATTCTGAAAGTCACATAAAATCTAATGAAATCTAATGTGGCTGTGATGTGACAAAAAGTGGAAAAGAAACCGTAAGAATGATTAGTTGAGCAAATGTAGCTCAGCAGAGAGTTTAATTTCTGACATGCACCTGAAGAGCAGTGAAAGCATAGAAGACCGTAGAAGCAAAGTTGGACTCCAACGTTCCCACACTGGGATCTTTCAGTGCAAACAGTAGGTGCAGGTATAAAGTGTCCTTTTCACTGGGAACCTGACAGGACAAAGAACATTTTCATAAAATAAATAAATAAAAAAAAACTGAAGAAAATGAGTCTGATTTTATGATTGTACCTCAAAGGCAGGAGCTGGAGTCGTATAGAGGTTGAGGATGTGGCGGGACGAGGCAGGTGTGGAGGAATTCGGTCCGATAGGAATTCCTGCCTCTGATTGGCGAAATGTGGGAGTGTAGAAGAATTTGGTGGTGCGCTGAAGGCTGTCGGACTCAGGGAAAGCCTGCCGCATGGCTTCTAAGCAAACAGTCACCCCCTGATACAAACCAACATTTCTTATTACATGCAAAAGACATGATGGCACCAGAAAAAGAGGTGAAGTTGAAGCTGCCTGACCTGCAGGAAGAAGTCTGTGTTTGTGTCCTTGGTGCTGAGCAACATGGCACTCGGTCCCGACGTCCCCGAGGTCATGGCCAGAATCAGCGGCTTCTCAGCAATTATTACTTTCTCTTCTCCAGCTGCAACGCGTTCGATAAACTCCCGGTAGTCGCCATACGTGGTGATGGGGTGACGGGCTCGGAAACCAGCAGCGTCTAATGAAAAGGCCCCGGAGGTACGGGATTCAGCTTAATGAAAACAATTCATGTCTCAACGTTTTCAAGCAGGAAAAGGTTGATCTAAATTTAAGCTAAATTTTCCAGATTACGACAGGTTGCACTTACTAGAAGCAGAAAGGAGAACATTGTTTTATTTCTTTTCTTTTTTTTTCTTTTTCTTTTACAAATAAAATCTGAAAGTGCTGAATGATGAGGTTCAAGTACTACTTCAGATTCTAATTGGATTTGTCACTGAGGGGATGTTGTTGTTCTGGGAGACGTATAGTGACAGTTTTCCACTACACAGCATTTTGAAAAATGGGCAAAAAGTTTAAATTAGGCCACGTCCGATTAGAGCTCCTGCTTCGACATGTTTGCCCATTAGATGATTTATGGCAAACCACCAAAGGGTCTTCTTATGGCCAAATTTTTGTTGGACTAATAGTCCCTCTGTTGACAGATTCTCCCTCCTGAGCTCATTTATGCCCAGCCTTTCATAACCCTGCTTTGGTAGATTTGCAGACATTCAGATGATTAATTGGTCAGTCCTTGGTGAGATAATCAAAGCTTGGGATGTTGTTTGATAATACCTTAAACTTCTCCACAGCTTAATCCCTGACATGCCTGTTGAATCATGTCTGGGAAGGATTTTACTGAAGGGTATCAGGGTAAAGGGGGTTGAATGAAAATGTATGCCACTCTTTTTTTATTTTTTGTTGATTAAACCCCAATAAAATACTATAAAGTTTATGGTTGCAACATTATAGAAGGAGGTTTGATTTAAAAGGGTATGAATACTGTCAAATCACTGTAAACACAGCTTATGTAGTCCATACTGAAACGTTACATCACCTTTGTTTACAACTACTCCTTCCATAAACTACATGTATAACACCCCGAGGCTCTCTAATAAGTCATTTTTCTGTCTTTACCTTCAATAGAGCGGAAGTCATACTTTCTTCCATAGAAAGTGTCCGCGTTTTTCCGGAGTCTCTTCAGCAGAGTCTCCTCCTGGACCTGCTTCACCTTGAGCGTATCGGCTTCTAGTTTCTTTCGCTGGCGCCTGCCAAGCCAGCCCACTGCCTTCACAGCCACATATTGGCTCAACAGACTGCCCAAAGTCCGCTTATCACCCTTCACCTTCGAGCTAATGTCCCTCCAAAGCAGCGCCATCCCGGCCAAAGAAAGGACACCGACGGCAGTGGGTAGAGGGGGCGGCATGGCTGCAAGAAACACCGAGGAGTTACACAAGAAAAACGGAAGGTGGACGTGACAGCAGGGAGCGCTGTTGGTTTAATTTACATCCTTACAGGTCTCTTTTCAGTTTAATTTCGAGGATGGTAATTGACTTTAACATCTTTTCACATATTCACCAAACATCATTTATTCAGGTAACTCACCCAGCGTTTGCCCGCTAACGGCGACAGCTACGGAGAAAACTGCAAAACAAAGCGAAACTGCGACGCCAATCCATGAGCAACCCATTTCTGTCCAACAAAATAATCGGATTCTCCTATTTTTAATTAAAATAAACGAAAACAACGTTCAGTCTACATTTGTTTGCAGGAGGTGTGGGTTTTTCTTCAACTTTATTATCAGTGTTAAAGTCTTCCGTGTTTACCTGATGTTTGTGTCCCTGATTGGTTAACCTCAGTGACGTAACTCAGTTTGTTACTCACAGCCAATGAGAAGTAACAACAGGACCTAAAAATGAAAGCGATGGCGCAGCGTACATGTGCTGTTATTTGAGATCGGCTTCAATTTAATTCAGTTTTGGTTTATAGCGCCTAATAACACATGTCACCTAATAAATCCTAACCGGATGAACAGATTCGCATTATATCAAGCTATAACTTATATTTAGTTATAATAATTATACCGTTATAGCCATTTATAGTAATTATATTCTAGTGATTTAGAAAGAGACAAATATGAACCCCTATTTAGCGGCTACTTTATAGAAGTTACTATTCGTTTAAAAAAAAATCTCTAAATTGCGAGCAGTTTATCAACTGCTATTGTGGAAAATTTACATTGATTTCATGTTGCCATCGGATGTATTCATCGTGTTCTGAAATCCAAAGATTATGTGTAGAAGGAGGTAAAAAAAAAAAATGATGTTAGAAGTGGGATTCGAACCCACGCCTCCAGGGGAGACTGCGACCTGAACGCAGCGCCTTAGACCGCTCGGCCATCCTGACAGATGTGCCATTGCTAGGAAACAAAAGATCTTCAATATCTTTATGAACAGCTGGATGTTCGTTAGTGATTAAGGTAGGTGAATACCACGCAGAATTTTACGTGCATTTATCACGCCATGTTAGAAATCAGCAGAGATAAAGACTGACAACATAAAAGCCTAGGTTCCACCGAGATTTGAACTCGGATCGCTGGATTCAGAGTCCAGAGTGCTAACCATTACACCATGGAACCCTGCCTCTATAATTGCTGTAATAGAAACATTTCTGGTAAAAAGTACCCGTTAGTCCGTCCTTCTGATATAGATTGTTTTCAACATTGTGGTGAGACGTGTAGATTTGTCCACATTTTTAAGTGATATTTTCCCATTAAACGGGGTGTATGGAAAGCTGTTAGCAGTTGTTCAATGAATAACACTGACATAGACAGTGTCATAAAGTCAAAAAGAGTTGTGGTGGACCTTTCCAAAATGGCAGGATAACCTGCTTCACTCAGCGTTAAGATTAATTCCACATATTAAGATTTATTGTGCAGTATCATGTAATCATGAATAACGACACGAAAGAAAACAGTTACTGTCAGAAGTGGGATTC